TTAACTTTGGAGCCTGTCGTGGAACTAGCTCTTGTAGACCAGGCTGGTCTTGAACTCACAGAGATCCACCTGCCTCTGCCTCCCAAGTGCTGGAATTAAAGGCATGTGCCACCACCACCTGGCTATATTTGTTTCTCTTAAACCACCAAGATTATTAAAAGGGATTAAGAACTTTCTTAAGTTAACTTTTTTTTTTTTAAAAAAAAGAACTTCTTTCAGAAGAACAGTTGTCTTGTGCTTTGTGGGACAATTTCCCAGGTATTCATATTGGTTTGTGTGTCACAGGAAGGAAAATCCCCACGGCAGTGTTTGAAGGAAGGATACTGCAGAGCTTTACAGTATTCATTTTTTGAGTGTAAAAGATCAATGGTAAGTGATTAACCATTTTGAAAAGCTTTTGTTAACTATGTGTAGAATTAAATAACTTGGTTGAAGTGAAATGATTTGGATATAGTGTTTGGACCCCAGTGGTAAGTGTGAGGCAACATTCACAAAAGCCCCTAACTTGGTTATCCTGCAGGGCTGCTGACTGCCATGGTTTTCTCAAAGTGTGAGGCTGAAGTCTCAACAAGTGTAAATGGGAGTTGACATCGAGAAGCATGAATTCCTCTCATTTGGGCAGTTACACAAGCCTGGAAGGCTGTGGACTGTGTTTGCACTTCTGCCTTACATGAGCAGGAGGAAGTGTCAGTTTTTGTATTTTGGAGTGTTGGATGGTGGCAGGAGGGCCCCACCTGACATCACTAGTCCCTGGGATTCTGTGGTAATATTCTTGAATGATCTACAGGGTTTCCATGGAAAAAGTATGAAGCCAGAAATGTGAGCTTCCCATGCAAGAAGGCACACTGATGGGCTTGATCCTGTGTTTGCTGCCTTTGGGACTACACTGGGAGTTCTTGCCCTCTGTTCATAAAGAAGTAGAGGGCACAGATGTTCAGCACACAGGAGACTAAAACCCATGGAGAGTGGAAGGGAAATGCAGTCTGACTGTGCTGTTTCTCTCAAGTGATAGGACTCTTTCTTCCTGCATTTATTACAGGCCTCCCTGTGTAGTTCTCTTGCCTTCCCTCTTTGTGTAGTTTTGTCAACTGTGTGAAATGCAAGCCTTTGAGCTTGTGAAGAATTTCAAAGCCTGTTTCAGTCATTGGGAAGGCATAATGATTAGTAAAGGATAGTAGGCTCTGCTGTATCATCACATCAGATGACAGCAGACTCCTGAGACTCCTCACCTAAAGCCCAGTCTTCCTTTTTCTTTCTCCTTCCTTCCTTCCTTCCTTCCTTCCTTCCTTTCTTTCTTCCCTTCTCTCTCCCTCTCCTCTCCTCTCTCCCTTCCTTCCTTGTCTTTTTCCTTCCTTCCTCCCTCTTTCTCCTCCTCCTCCTCCTCTTTTTTTGAGACAAGGTCTCACTATGTAGCTCTGCCTGGCCTGAAACTCACAGAGATCCACCTGCCTCTGCCTCTCGAGTGCTGAGATTAAAAGTGCATCCTGCCACACCTGGCAGTGGTAGCCTAGACTGGCTTGGAACTTGTGATCCTCCTGCCTCTACCTCTTTAGCATATCCTATGGGTATGAACTAATTCTTAAATTTTTTTTCACAGTTTATCTGCCTCTGAGTAATTTTTTTAATTAAAAGGCTCTTCTCATATAATATATCCTGATTACAGTTTCCCCTCCCTCCACTCCTCCCAGTTCTTCCCCACCTCCCCTCCCCACTCCCTTTCTCTCTCGCTTTAGAAAAAAACAAGCTTCTAAGAGATAACAACCAAACATGATAAAATAAGATGAAGCAAAAACTTACATATTGAAGTTGCACATGGTAACCCAACATGAGAAAAGAGTCAGAGAACCATAACTATACTAAGCCCATAGCTGTAATATATACACAGAGGACCTGCTGTAGCCCCATGTAGTCCCTGTGCTTCATGTCTCAATCTCTGTGAGCTCATTTATACCTTGTTTAGTTGACTCAGAGGGCTTGTTCTTCTGGTGCCCTCCATCCCCTCTGACTTTTACAATCTTTTCTCCTCCTCTTCTGGATTCCCTGGTCTCTGAGGGGAGGGATTTGATGGAGACCTCCAATTTAGACTCTCCATATAATGTCTGGTCTCTGCCTTTGTTCCCCTCTGCTGCCAGGGGAAGCCCTTCTGATGACTAGATAAGACACTTATCTACGAATCTAGCAACTTATAGCTTTGTACTCCTCTTGGGTGTCTTTTTGTTGTTGTTCTAGAACTTTCAGGTGTGGTGTTAAGTTGCTAGTATGAGATATGTTCAAATTTTTAATGTAGATATTTAGTGCTATGAACTTTCCTCAGCACTGCTTTCAATGTGTCCTATAAGTTTAGGTATGCTGTGTATTCATTTTCATTGAATTTCTAAGAAGTATTTAATTTCTTTCTTGATCCATTTTTCATTCAGTAGAGAGTTGTTCAGTTTCTATGGGTTTGTAAGCTTTCTGTTGTTTCTGGTGTTGTTGATATCCAGCTTTAATCAGTGATAGTTTGATAGGATGCAGGAAATTCTTTCAGTTTTCTTTTATCTGTTGAGACTTACTTTGTGTCTGAGTATATGGTCAATTTTGGAGAAAGTTTCATGAGGTACTGAGAAGAAGGTATATTTTGTATTTGGGTGAAATGTTCTGTGAATATCTGTTAGGTCCATTTGGTTTATAATGACTGTTAGCTCCATTATTTCTGTTTAGTTTTTGTCTTGATGACCTGTCCATTGGTGAGAATACTGAAGTCTTCCACTCTCTGTATGTGAGGGTTAGTATGTGATTTCAGTTGTAGCAGTAGGGTTTGTTTTATTTTTTCCAAACTTGGGTGTCCTTGTGTTTGAGGCACAGATGTTAAGAACTGGAATGTCATCTTGGTGGATTTTTCCTTTGATGAGTATGTAGTGCCATTACCCTGAGGTAGTGTCTGTTCATGATGTTGAGGTGTGTTTCTTGAATGCAGCGAGAGGGAATGTATGTTTTCCTATACATTCTATTCGCCTAGCATGTGTAAGGCCTTGAGTTCAGTGCATAGTACAGAAAAATATTTATATATTGTTTAAAAAGCTCACTGCAGCTTTATGCTATGCTCAAATAAGTGGCTGTCTGTTATACTGTCAGACTCACAGACAGGGTCTATCTCCAAAATAATTCCTTCCTTTGAAACTTCTAAACAGCTATATTGACTTTGAAATTCTGCCATACACTGACTTCAGACCCTGTTCTCCACCTGTGATCCATTGGAAGTGACTCCATTGAGAGGTTTAAGTCAAAGAGCCTGGGGTCAGCCTAGGAGGAAGGAACACAAGGACTTTTAATACCATGATCCTGTGTCATTGTTTCCAGTTGCTATTTAAAAATTTCAAGTATATTGAATTTATAAAAGTAGGGTTGGTAGAACATTCACTGAGTATACTTAAACAGAAAGGTAAATGTGTTTTCAACTTTACAGAAGCAAGTCTTTGTTGGCCCTTAGGAAGAGCTGTGGTTTCTTTTGTTCATAATGCCCCATTCATTATTCTTCCTCCTGGCTTTGCACTTTTTTCTTTTGTTAGTACAAGGTCTCATTGGGTAGCCCCAGCTAGCCTCGTGCTTTCAGTTTTTCTGCCTTGGCCACTTGAAAGCTGGATATAGGCGTTAACCACATGCTCAGCCAAGTTTTTGATTTTTCTGGAAGCTAGTTTGCTTCTTTTATAAAGTTACTGACATCCCTTACCAGAACTGTGTTTGATCAAATTATTATTCCAGATCTGATTGAATGTATGTATGCTTGTTTTCAGTTGGATACCAGATCAAGATTCAGAGGAAGAAAAGGATATTGATAACATTATATTGAAAGCAAGATGAAGATCACCCCGGATTTTCTCTGGTCCTTAGCAGAAAAGAGCCAACATAGCAACAGTAGCTGCTGCATCTGCTTGACATCTGGACCAGGATTTCTCTCCAGAGAACACTAGAGAAAATGGATAAGTGCTGTTTCTGAATGACTCTGTCATGTGAAGTCAGTTATAGGAGATGACTCTTCAGTCAGATTACAAAGTGTGTGCACCTGGGAGGCCATAATGTGACTGGCACAATTGGTACCTTAGGACCTGGAGCCAGGGCTCTTCCAACTCTGTTTCTTGGTTTCAGTTTAATCCAGCCCTCTCTTCATAATGGGATAATGCCAACCTTAGTCCACATCCTCAAGGTCTGTGTGGCCCAGAAAGGAGAGTGTGGGCCCACAAATCATATCCTACTGAATCACTCTGGTCTTTTCTGGGTCATGCTCCTACTCCAGCCTTTGTGATCTTGGCTAGATTGTGATTTTATGTACTGTGCCTATTCCACTTACCATCTTACTGAATGAGTTATGGGCCTCATCCCTAAACAGATGTTCACTCTAGATAGCAAATATCGAAGACATGAAGTGGCTAGAAAGTTTAGAATCATGGTACTTTTGGTGACTTAACACAGTAGAGAGCCACCAGGAAACTAAAATTCCAGTTTGATTTTTGGCATTTAACAGTGGGAAGTTGTCATAGCTTCTTTATCACTGTGTAGTTAACTGGAGCTAAAGCAGTCAGGGATTGTGTAGTTCACTTGCTGTTTTCAAAGTTCTGAAGCTGTGAGGATTCCCCATGATATCACTGAGGTCTGCCCTATGTACTGTCCTCCACGGGAGTGGGAAGTGATGTGCCCTTTAGTCCTGCTGTTTATGTACCAAACTTGGTGTACGTCTGTGGTGTGGAGGATCACGCCTTCTACATGCTAGGCAAGACTCTACCACTGAGCTACACCTCCCACAAGTGCTTCAATTTTAATTGAACGTAATTCTGATTAGAAACTATGAGATGTGTTTGTATAAAAAGCCTCCGTTTAGAGAGAGCTTTATTTGGAGAAATTTATATGATACAAAATTGAACCTTCAATTGTTAGCGCATGCAGCAGTCACCACTGTAATTCCAGAATTTTCATCATTTCTAGAAACTCACACTCATTAGCAGTCTGCCCTCAATGGCAAATAATGTATGTGTTTCTATGGGACTGTCTATTCCATATCTGTTATATAAGTAGAGTTACAGAGTATGGTCTTTTCTAGCTTCTGTTACCAAGTTTAACAGGTTTATTCATGTAGCATCAATCTGTAATTCAATACTGCTAAAATAGCATTCCATAGTAGACATAGGCCATATTTCTAATCTATTCATCAGCTAATGAGCTCTGAGCTTTTTCTACTTGAGGGCTTTTGACTAATGCTGTGAACATCCGTGAAAAAGTTCAACATGTTTGATTTAATGTTTGCCTTAGAGTGGAATTACAGGGTTGTATGACAGACTCAATTTTATCATTTTCTACAGAGATTTTACCACCACTTCATACTCTCAAAGTAACTAGGTTCCAGTATCCACACCATCAACTGTTCACATTGCTGACAGACATTATGTTTGGTATGAAGAGGCTTCTAATTAGGATCTTGATTTGCTTTTTTTTTTTTTTTTTTTTTTTGGACAGGGGTTTTTTTTTTTTTTTTT